TTGTTGCCGCTAAACAAAGTTTTGGAGGGACCAAAAGTGAAAGGCTGTCACCCAGTCACCTGGACTGATGAATTGCATGAAGCTTTCAACACGGCTAAACGTGCTCTGTCCAACGCTGCGTTATTGGTGCATCCCAAAATCGACGCTGACTGGGCAATATTTACCGATGCCTCCGAAATCGGAATTGGAGCCGTTTTGCAACAATACGTACACAACGAATGGCAACCACTAGCATTTTTTAGCCGAAAAATTCCTCCAACGATTCAGAAACTTTCGACGTATGACCGCGAGTTACACGCCGTCTATGAGGCTATAAAGTACTTTCGGCACATTTTTGAAGGTCGGCATGTAACGATCTATACCGATCATAAACCGCTTCTGCACGCATATAACCAGCGCACCGAAAGAGCATCGCCGTGGCAGTTTCGCCGTCTCGATTTTATCGGCCAGTTTACCACGGACATTCGACATGTTTCAGGCTCTGACAACATCGTCGCCGACACATTGTCACGCGTCGAAGCCGTCGCCGTAGCTATTACCTCGCAAGAACTGGCCAACGCACAACAAAAAGATGCCGAACTTCAGAAGTTACTATGCCAAAAAACTGCATTAAACCTCAAAACGATTCTACTGGAAAATGGACCAGTACTCTATTGCGATACTGCATCCGGTAAAGTACGTCCTTACGTCCCTGAGCCATTGAGAAAAAAAGTTTTTGACTCATTTCACTCGCTTGCTCATCCCGGAGTCAAAGGATCGCAAACNTTACGTCCCTGAGCCATTGAGAAAAAAAGTTTTTGACTCATTTCACTCGCCTGCTCATCCCGGAGTCAAAGGATCGCAAAAACTGGTCACGCAGCGATATGCATGGCCCTCTATTAACAAAGATTGCCGCGTATGGGCAAAATCGTGCATGGAATGCCAGAAAAATAAAATTCATCGACATGCGTCATCGCCGATCGCTAGTTTTGAACCACCAACGGAACGGTTCGAGCATATTCATATTGACCTGGTGTCTCTTAAAAGGTCTAAAGGTTTCAATCAGTGCCTTACCATCATAGACCGGTTCACCAGATATCCTGAGGCTGTTCCATTATCCGATGGTACTGCAGAAACGGTAGCTCACGCATTATCGCTACATTGGATTTCGCGCCATGGAATACCCAAGCGTTTAACATCTGATCAGGGGCCGCAATTCGAGTCGGACCTGTTTCAGTCGCTATTAAAGTTCTATGGTATTAAGCACTTGCATACAACCCCATACCACCCACAAGCCAACGGACTTGTCGAACGACTACATCGCCAGCTGAAATCGGCCCTTCTGTGTCACGACGAATCATGGTACGATGCATTACCAGCCGTCCTACTCGGTTTACGCGCAGCTTGGAAAGACGATATCGAGACGACGCCGGCTGAATTAGTATATGGTGAGCCAATTCGATTGCCTGGTGAGCTGCTCACTCCTACAAACAAAACCTCCCCACATACGATAGTAAACACTTTAAAACTTCATTTTAATTCATTGGCACCGGGCGAAATGTCACGTCACGGCAAGCATTCTGTTTTCTGTTTCAGGAACCTTAATACTTGCTCCCACGTACTAGTGCGCAACGACCAGATTCGTCCATCCTTCTCGTCACCATACGAAGGTCCATTTCGCGTA